ATATATATATATAATGTGTGTGTGTGTGTGTGTGAGAGAGAGAGAGAGAGTATACCTGATACACATTCGTATACACATACCCCTATACCCACAATTAGTTCATGCATTCTTCTGATTTGCCTGCTGGTATCAATTTACTTCTTGAGGTCAGACATCTTTTGAGAAGGTCCAACAAAATCAATTATTCCCCTAGGAGACCTACAACTCCCCCCATGTCTGACGGCGCACGTCAGCCACACCGCCCCATGACATACCCCCAAAATAAGTCTCTCTCTACCGGCCTAGTGAGTATCGCCGGGCCCCCGTATTCGCTTGTCATTTTCACATCGATCAAATAATCGATTCGGCTGACTTAACACAAAAGAGATAAAGCTACAAAACTCAGGTAGCGGTGGCGGTGTATTTGAGCCCGGGCCCATCGCTGCAGTCGAGTAATAAGTACTGGTAGTCGCTGAAGCGAAAACTAAGTCCTTTCATGTTTTTTCACTATAATTTCTTCTTCTCAGCGCACAGCTTATGTGACAGTGAAATTTTCAAGAAGGTGCGAGTTACGTCATTTGTAGTACTTCGTCCTGGCTAGCACCGCTCCGAAACACTCGGGCGATCTCCCCCCGTTCAGTGGTGTGGTTTTTCTCTTATCGCCAACGCCTTCTTTTCTTGTCCTGCCCTAGCTAGGTGCAAGGCAAGGACAGACCCGGGTGTTCAGGGTACGTAGCCTACCTCTATTGTGCCCGTCTGGGTTGCTCTGTGTGGAACAGGGCGGTGGTGGTGCTTACACTTTGCACGGATCACGTATTTTTCAGAGGACTATTCTTCGAAAAAGAATGTTCGCCTGACAGGAAGATACGGTTTGCCGTTTTCTCTTTTGAAAAGTATATATAACAATTGACGAAATATATAAACTGTAAAAGCACTGAGTTGCCTCCAGAGTGAATAGGTGTATGAAGTTTCAGAGACTCAAGACTATATATGCAATATGTAATGATAATCAGTTAAACTCAGTGAGTCATTTATACTTAGTCTGCCAGGAAGAATTTAAGAGTCGTTTCTGAAGAAAAAAAAACCCGTGCCTATCAGTGTGGAAAACATAGCAGATGTCGATCGGTTCTTTGTTGTTCTTTGAAAAATCTTCAACAACCCCAAGGATAGAGAGAAGAAGGTCAAGATGGATAAAAACACGAGAACGTTTTGGACATTCCTGGTCGTCTGTCTGCTGTCGTGTATCCCGGGTAAGTCAGCTTGACGCGACTGTTTGTCGGAATATCTCTGTGCAATGTTTGCTTACGTTGGTCACCGTGTTTTCTCCCAGTTTTACATTACATTTATGTGTGGTGGGAGACCTTTTGGAAGAATGCATTTTCCGACAGAGATGGAGAGAAGAGAAGAAGAAGAAGAAGAAGAAGAAGAAGAAGAAGAAGAAGAAGAAGAAGAAGAAGAAGAAGAAGAAGAAGAAGAAGAAGAAGAAGAA